ACCTTGGGTATGTTTTTCCTTTTCAGATGGCACAGTACATGTCAAATATTTTCTCATACAAAACCATTAAACAAAGGAATGATACTATAGGGAATGACATGTAGCTTGAAATGGGAAAACATTAAGCCCAAACCGAAAAAAATCTATTCCTGATCCTATTTAGTTAAAAATGCTTATCTTTTCATTAATCCCAATAGCATTAGAATAGRAACATCCCATACTAGATAAAACCCTGTTGGTAAGGGATTTTAAATTACCTTGATATTTTCTTCCCYGAAGTGATTCCGTCCAGGAACTAACAACATCTGGTGTGGAAACTGTAGGCATAACATTATACAAGCATAAAGACAAGAAACAAGACTGCAAATAATTTTTGTGAAAGGCAGGTCATTTGTCAGGCCAGATGCATATTTGACCWGTAAAAACCCATGTGTGGCTGGTCAAATGTTTAGCCAAGGCAAATCATTTACCAGTCAAGTGGTCGTTTTACTGGACATTGTCCAGTGACTGACAATTATTTACAGCCTTGAGAGAAAGATGTTAGATTATAAGTTATAATTAGTATACAGTGGTTCATACCTCCCACTGGAGTTTTCCTTAAGGAATCTTGAAAGGATGAGATTCTATGACTTGCTGGGGTTTCTGCTGCAGTAAATGAGACTGGAGGAGTAGCTGGAGCTAGACCGAGGCCAAGATTCTAATAATAAWAAAAWAATAATAATATTTTACAACCACCACTCCCCATATGGGGCTCTTCCATGAGGTTCCCTCCACACACACTACCACTACATTCTATATTTACAACATACAACACTCAACTCACATGTAGATTTTTATGGAGGGAGGAAACCGGAGAACCCGGAGAAAACCCTCGTAGCATAGGAGAGAACAACACATCAAACAAAATCAATTCTCATGTGGCGACCGCAGGACTCAAACCAGCGACCCGACCCGTTGGACTCACAGCAGTGAAAGACGACGCATTAGCTGCAAACGCCACCCATTCTACCAATAAAAAAAAGATTTTGGAAACCTTTTAGCTTCATAAATGCACAAATATTCCSATATGATAATGAACGCATCAAGTCCAACTTGGACTTGAAGGCTATCCTTGTGGAAATTTGGGCAAATCCAGGAATTAGGTTTATCAACATTTAATTTGTCCAACATCTGTTTTGATTTTTCCAAGAAATTTCAGTACACTATATTTGGTCATAATAATCACTTGAAAAATATGTATTCATGTATTACCATGAAGAGAATATGGAGTTTTTGATATTGGGAAATTTTAACATACTGTAGCTCTTACAAATGAGTATGGGTGTGGTCCATTGGTGCCTCTCCTCAAGACCATGTCTTGGTATATTCTATTCTTCAGCTTTTCTACYGATTCTTTAAGTTCAGGTATGGTCTCATTGGATAGCATTGACCTTGTGAAGCAAAAAAGATAATTGCATTAATTCCTAAAAATGTACACACTGTAGTTTTTAACAATTGTGTGAAAATTTATAGCAGGTGTAGATCAGTTGGTTAGTGCGTGGCCTAGAGGTCGAGCTAGAGGTTCATGGTTCAATCCTTAGGACTTCCATGTCTGTTTCGATTTATCTCTAATCTTTGTAGCTTCAGCTTTGAATATTCTTAAAACAGAGCACTGATGGAGTCAGAGGGGGGTAAAGTGCACACTGTCAACTCCCTGGAAGACCTGGAAGACCAACTACTGTACTAGCTGAAGGAACACTGACGTTAAATAATGCCTTTACCTTAACCTTTTAATACTCTATCATAGTCTTAGTAATACAAGGGAAATTACCTGAGAGTTTCAGTATTTGATAAGAGAGACTGATGAGTGTGGACATCATTCTTTATCTTYGGTGAACTTTCATCAAAACTTGGCACAGAGTCTAGTACACAARTTATAATTATGAGAGTCAGCCTTCAGTAATAAAAAAGTGTTCAAACTGAAAAAACGGCRAACAAAAGTTACTTAATTTTGTGTCAGTCGTTCATAGCCATACTGTACCTTGAYGAATCTTGTCTCGAAGAAGCCTCAAAGATAGGTTCCAGAGTTGAACAAGACTGAATAATAACAACAAATTTCTTAATTTAAGTTTCTTAAAAAGTAAAGATTTTTCTATAAACCATTTCGTTGTTTACTWTATTTCCAGTTTAGCAGGTGGGATTTGATGAATCCAAATGCTTCTCRGCCCAGTGAAATTCAGCGAGTGGTACGGTCAACTGGAAATAGCAGTAAGGCACAGAAATATATTCCATACAGTACCTCAATAGATTCAGCTTTCCACCAACRTATGTGTTACCAATTCTTTTCTAAAAGAAAAAATGTATGTAAATATATATTGACTCAGCCTATTTAGTATTCAAAACTAGAGGTTTGAATAATGCTTTGTCTTACCATTTGGAGCTCTCTTTCACACTCCCGAAACAAGAGATCAGGAATCTACAGACAGAGAGAAATGAGTACCATTAATTGATAAACATGGAGCTTATMATGTACTGTAACTTTTTCTACTCATATAGACTGACACACCCACTCAGTATTATCCCACCCATATGAACATAGACCATGAACAGAGTTCAATTCCTTAAGTGAGTATCAGGTTACCTTGACTACAACATCAGTAGCATCCAAATGGTGTTGATTAGCTTGCCCTTCAAGAACTGCTTCCACAACTTCTCTCTATTTAAAATATAGTWATCCATTATAAATATGCTTGACAATAATAATTATCTCCCCAATGCTTCCCATGATGCATCAAACTCATGCTTAGTCAGCATTACCATTTAAGACTGGACTGGCTAGATATATTGTAATGTGTTTAATATGTCTTACCTGTTGACCATGTTCTGAATGAAATTCCTCAAACSCTCTCCATAAGCCTCTAACCTGAATTAAAATGAATGATGCTTAATCATACAATTGTTACCATATTATTTTATGATAAAAAAATGGTGAATGGAGTCTCACTTTTTGAAGTTGTTGTGTTCTTTTTATGGCATCTGTTTCTTTTTGATATTCATGATTAGCAGCCAAGCTAAAATTGAAGAATAAAGATGTCATTGCAAAAAAAAAAAAGCCTAAGAACACTTTCAAGAAAGAATATTCTCTCAAAATTAATGATGTATCAGGGGTAAAATAAACAGATGCTCAATGGTTGAACATGATGACCTACCACACTGGACTGATCAACATTTCACTAGTCAATAGGACTGGCCAATGACAAGAGCCAATTTTGGCCTAACATTGTCTATTTACTGGCCATTACTTTGAGTCCTGGATCTAGAGAATACACCGGGGGGGTGGGAGAATACACCATACAAAAGGGCCAAATAAGGAGAGTATGCAGAATATACTCCCGATAATACTATCTTGAGCCTATTTTATTGCACCTTGGATGGAAAGATTGAATTAATTTTTTTAMTTACCTTCTAGCCATTTGCTCTCCTTTGTATTTCACTTCACCTTTTAACTGTCGCTCCAATTCTTTAATTTTCTTTTTCAGACTCCTATTCTCTTTGGTCAACTCACTAACAGGACATTCAGAGACGATGATTTTAAAAATCATCAAAAATTCAGTGAGTTGATAAAAAATGATGTTATGCTTCTATATACCACAGTGCCAGTTTATTGATGAACGTTTAAACTTTATGCAGAATAATTATTGAGCCAAGCTTTCTGTGGTCTTTTTTTGGTTATTGCATATCTGGGTAGCCTGAACAGCATGAAATACTAACATAAAATACTGATATACTTCTTTTTTGTGCATTTGTTTTGCCCATTTTGGACTATGTGTCATTCCTTTGAGAATATGATTCTTTGTTTCATTTGCGTCCAAACAAAGAAATGATACTCAAGGGAATTGACATGCGGTCTGAAATGGGCAAAACATTACGCCAAACTTAAGAGGTCTATTGATGCAGGACATCAGTGGAAATTAAAGTAATTAATCTTTRATAAACTTACACGGCAAAAGCTTTCCAATGCTGCTGGACTTCTATAGAGTATTTCGTAAGTTCAAAAAATCTTGAATTGAGAAAAAATAATGCAATGAATATGAATACATCGATTATTAAATAAATAAAGATTATCAAATATAAAAAGCTTGATATAATTTTGGTTCACGATTTTACATACTGTATCATATTGCAAACAAGTGAGTCCAAAAGTGAGTGAGCAATATGATATGCAAAATAAGTAAACAAATATTTGTTTATTGCAAATTTAGGATTGATACAATAACAAAATTTACAGTTTACAAATATTGTTAAGAAGTATTGTATAACTTTACTATTAAGGTTTTCATTCACGACTTTATTACAGTGATATTGATTCTATTTAGCAATAATGTAGGCTGATATTTCAATCCCTGGGAATGATTATGCATGGAGTCTGGTTAGGAACTGCTTAATATTTAGAGCATAATATAGTGAGTGGGCTGCCAATTTTTCTGTAGAGAGAATGGGGGTTACAATAATTAACAATAATTGTAATTTATGGGGAATTATTGTGCCTTACAAAAAATGTGGTTAGGGGGAGGGGGGTGGGTCAAAAAAAACAAAACATGGCATACCCACTGTTGAACCAGCCCCCTTCCTCACCCACTAAACAATGACTGGTCCATTAGKTACCTTTTTCTATGTATTGCTGTTTGAACTTGGTAAGACTTGGACATGACTTGAGTAAAACTGTGATTATGAATGGACTTGGAAGGAAAAGGTGGTATAGATACATGCCTACCTGAAGAATAGTCAGAGAAATGGAATAGAGTTTATATCTRTATCATTATCATTGGGAAGCATGTTTTTCCTCCTACAAAAATCAAGTCCTAAATTCCAATTCCATCATGGAACGAGGGCCACAGGTTTGTTAGCCTCTGGCTATTAAGTGCTACCCTTGTAAAAAAAGTACAGTTTTTTTTTTTTTTTTAATCATCATTTTTATGCCTGTGTGGCTAGTAGGTCACCGAGGACCTATAGATCTCCATAATCTTTTCACCCAAACAACTTGATCCATATTTGAGGCATGAAATAGTCAGTAATAGACCAATAAACACCCAGATCTAGTAATTATTAGAATTTTTATAACATTCTCAAATACAAATGATTCTTACTGTGATCTCTCAGCATGACAACTGTTAAAACATAACTTGAAAAAACCAGAAGAAATTGATAGAACCTGTCTCCTAGTAAGGAAATAAAAAATTCATTAGTCATGATCATTTTTTGGTTTACAAAGTGATTTGGTGGTTTACAAAGCAAGTCTTTACAATCACACATAAATAATTATGCATGCAGTGAGATTTTTTAAAATTTCATTTACCAGGGATTTCTGTTTTGTCTACTTACCTCTTTTGTTTTATTTTTTGTAAAGCGTGCAGAGATAGTATGGGGCTGTGCTACACATATGAGAACATCTTTATTATTATTATAATTACCTCCAGGAGAATGAAATAATGATTGAACTACTCTTGGCAAGTAGGCATCTTTCTCTTCCTAAAGAAAAAACCAACACTTAACAAATATTCCACTCTATTCCTATTTCTCTCAATTTTCCTTATATTGAGCAACTAATTCATCTATATCCTTGCCTAATCTCCATCAATATGTTACTATCGTAAAATAATTATCTAACTTATTATTGTAATCATTTAATTGTTTACAAATGGAGATAAATAAAAAAATACAAAAATGTGTGGGTGGGTGGTGCACTGAGAGTAGCGGTGGTTTTTGCTGTGTTGTTGTGATTATTCTGAAAGTTCTCAGTGACAAGTTACTGTATATTAAAAACGTTTTCCAGTAATTCTCCATTCTTATAGTTATAAATTACCTTAGCAATTCTAGAGACCCAATTATAACAAGTTTTCCTAAACTGTTGCTCTTCAACTTTGTTCTTGACCGGCCAACAATCCCTGATTTAAAAAATATATTCACATAGTTAAAGTTTCTCTTTTTTGTGTGGTGGAGTATTTTTTGTTTCATTAGTACCACAAATGTTCATATTCATAAAGAAATTGTTTTTACGACAGCTGTTAGGGGACTCTTTTCTTACCTAAATTCTTCATAGGTCATCTGAGGATTAATCTTAGTAAACAAGAAGTGCATAACAACCTCCATGGCTTTCTTGTTTGGTAGTGCAAACATATCCCTGAACAAGCACAATAAAATTTGAATAATGGAAAGAAAATAGGTCATACGTAGTTTAGAGCTAGGAAGTGTGCACTGGAGTTTGCTGACTTGACATATAAATAGATCTGAAAAACTTATGCAGACACCTCAGTTAAATCGTTCGCTGTTCCCAAAATGCTATGCCTTCTTGGGAATTCCAAGGGAAGGACAAGATATATACTGTGATATACATTGTAAACAAGCCTAAAAGCATGAGACGAAGCCGAGCATTTCTCTTGCTTCTTGAGTGACCTATAGCTTCCAGGGTGTTTATATTACAGTATAGAGACATAAGCAAGCATTTCATATTGCTTTTATAAACATTTTCATAAATTTCTATTTCTATTTCATAAACATAAGTCTCTTTCCTCTGATATAAACATGGTAGCCAGCCAATCAGCACACACGTTATATTTCAAATTTTTCATAAATAGTATTAAAGAGGGGGCCTAGTGATCGCTCAGCCAAAGTGGACCATTTACCAGAAATGCATTTCCTGGTCAATAGACCAAATTCAAAACTCGCACCGATGTGAGGCTTAAGTTGTGAACAAAGGGATCTGGCATGACTCAAAGTAATCTGGCGTGATTCAAAAGTCACGAATCACGCCAGATTCCTTTGTTCAAAACTTAAGCCTCACATCGGTGCGAGTTTTGAATTTGGTACACACTGATCAATTTGATTACGTCGTAAAATATTACATCAAATGTTGATACGACCTCTAGATTATGGGCAATGATGCATGAAGGAACAGTTTGATATTTATGATCTACTAAAATATAGCGTATTGTAACTACACACTTTTTTACGCACCCTAAACGAGAATGAAAAAGAAAAAAATAAGAGCATGCATTGGAATGTAAATAAATAGTAGCATAATCAAGTACACATTTCTCAACAAACACAAATATCATGAATTTAGGAGCTTTATGAGCACTAAAAGGAATGACCACTAAAAATAATAAAATCAAATGAACAATGTTTACCTGTTAAAAGGTATTTTTTCTCTGGATTCCATTGCAACGGGGTCAAACCCTAACAGCAACAAATTAGTAAAAAATATCTCCCTAGAATCCAAGTGATTGGGCATWATACCCACACTTCTCATAGCTAGCATCTTGTAAACATATGGAACTGTTAATCCACGTCTTAAATTTTGTACTAAAGTGTATTATTCGTATTAAAAATCGCGATTTTCGAGRTGTGTAAATATAATTTATAAACGAATTGGATCCGCCATCTTGAAGTTTAGCGCCAAGAAACCTGCGAAGTCCCGGATAACAACATTCAATCGAGGCTACTTCCTACCAAGTGCATTMTGGGTAATATCCAAGATGGCGGTCGCAGTGAAAAGGTTATGTAAGGGAGTCTTCAATTTAAACTCACTTAACACTGGATTTATTGCGTCTGGGAATTTATTGAAGGCGTCTGTACCTCGTACTATGGCATATCTAGGTTCAGTTCGAAGATTGAGCGATAATGTTGAGGATAAAGAAAGTACGCAGTCAAAGAATGAAGGGGAGAAGATAGAGGAATCAGCTGATCCTTTTGCAGCCTTCCCTGATGATGTTAATCCTGTAACGAAGGAGAGAGGAGGACCTAAAGGACCGGAGCCTACGAGATATGGCGACTGGGAACGCAAGGGACGATGTATTGACTTTTGAGATTATTTATTATCAACAGTCAGTTTGGGCAAAGCCCCGAGTACTGAACAAAATGGATGACGCAACTGTCAAGATACCTTACATAACGAAACTCTTACGTTATCCCAAATGAGACACAGAAATATTTCTTATCCTCAACAACATTTTGAAAAAGCGATTATTACCTTTTTTATATGTACCGAAAAAGAAAACCATTGCCATGGTAACATTACCCCGCTGTATTTCTGAAGGACGTCGTGTTCTAATACTGGGTGCTGCGTATCATAATGCATTAATAAATGATAATTACTAGGGTTAATGGATAGTGGAGTTTTATCATTGTTCGTATGGCATACTAGTTTCATCCATCCAACGTCAAATTTTAACCCATGTCTGGTCAATCATTTGTCGGTTCTACTGAAAGGCATGAAAAAAAAATTGATATCTTCACAACCCATAAAGAATGCTCTAATCGGAGTCCGCAGCTAGAGCGAATTTTGGATTGGTGGGTGTGGGATGGGGGCTAATGTTTTTAAATAAATGCTTTCAAATGCTGAATTTTAAATCATATAGAGAATAAATCACAAATGGAGGCAATTTTTTTTGTTTTTTGTTTTGCAAGCAGATTGTTCTTAATATACACCCTCAAGGTTGGTTGACAAGGTATAAGGAGACTCTGCTTACAGGGTAATCTGGGCTGTGCTAGTGCTACGGATCTAGCTAGGTTGTGTACAACTCACTGGTTACTGTTACTATCTAAAAAAAACATTTTAGAACTTTTTTTTTTTGGATACTTTACTTTCCTGTATGTGGCAGTTGTTACAGTTTTTGAATGAGAAAGTCAACAGGCTATTGATTTTAAAACAGAAATACRAAGAAAATCAGGGTACTTAAAAATTACAAAAATCATAACAGCACAATGATAAAGATCATCAGCTCACAGAGCTCAATAAAACGATCCTGATTTATAATCATTAAAAAGAGTTAAACTGTTTGTGTTTTTGGCTTGTAGCCAGGTATACATTATTCTTACAAGTGCGAGTTACAAGGTGGCACAGCTAGTACATCTCAATATTTTGCTTTTCTTTGACGCCAGTAGAATAAAGTAAAAGGTACAAACTGATTGCCAAGTTGTCAGTAAAGAAAACATTCCAGCATGCAGCTCGCAGCTACGGAGTAGTTCGCATATCACACAAACAGTAGTAAGTGCAAGAGTAAGTTGAATCTGAGATCATGGAGAAAAAAGTCCAAAGAGTTTATAAATTGAAAAAGACCATAGAAAAGTTAATATTCCCTTTTTAAGGGAGTTCGTAAACGAAATGATATAAACCAAAAAGTCAAGGCCGTGACAAGCGAATGCTTGTTTAAAAACTGAAGACAAATAAAAAATTAATGTGACTCTAAATCTATCTTTTAGTTTAACACAACGATAATTGGGATTCCTGTGTATGGATCGAGTACAGTTCGTTTTTTACGCCCTTAGAGCTTTAAACTGTGTAAATAAGTCGAGGATATGAGGGTGAAGGTCACTTGTGAATAGCAAAGTTTCTAATGTTGTTAGATACTGGAAGACTTGATCGTGGTTCTGAAAATAAAAGATAAACAAGACTTGAATGGTTAAAGACTCAAATACTCATAACACAAGGAAACAAGAATTGCGTGGAGAAATTTAAAAGTCTTCCCCAATTTGTGTTGCCCAATTTTGTGACTGACTAAGAATCCAACCCTATTTTCTTTAGCGAAGCAAAGTTATCACGAAGAGACTTCATATAAAACACGTCTTGGTTCTGGTTTTCGCGAATAACGCGAGCAAAAGTGCAAAGCCTATGAAAAATTCCAGTTGTATTCTTATCTTTAATGTTTGATCACGTCGCATTTAAACATGGTTTGATGCTTGCGCTGAACAACGTTTTTGCAAGTGAAAGCTCCTCATATAACTGATCACACCGATCTTAGCTCAGCCTTGGTCCTACAAATCCCAACTCACCATGAGCAAGACTTCCCTCAGTCGTTCTGTTGCATATTTAAACCAGGGTGTCATCACCTCCATCTGTTGTTGTTCGCATCGCACCAGATGTTCTGTGAGCATCATAATAAATCGCTGAACACAAGAACAGGATAGTTAGTAAAGCAGTTTGTTAATGCAGTAGGCAAAATGAAGTAAAGTTATATACAGTAAAAGTTGGCTAAAATTWAAAAAAAAAWWTTTTTTCCTACTTTTTACCTAAGTAGGAAATACCGTAGTACCTCCTGTCTTACATGTGGGCGAAGCTTTTCTATCATTTTCCTTGGCGCATTTTTGGTGACCGATTTTTAGGGTAACGGGGGTTCACGACGTAACTCCCAAACTTTCCCACTCTCTTTCTCTGGCAATTACAACCGCTTTTCGAGAATCAAGCACTCAAGATAAAATAATCCAATCTTTCTTCATACCTGAAAGAGTATAAGGTAGAGCTGTTTTTGTTCTCTTTGCACGTTTTCGAGTTTCTCGGATAGTTGTTCAACGTTGACTTTCTTCTTCTCGATTTCTTCTGCCAAGGCGGCGTCCCTTGGTTTATCATCAGGATTCAGACTCTACGACGAAAAAAGTGACATGAACACTGCTATTAGGAGAGTAAAGATGTATTTGAACCACAACGATATCTAACATACGGCCTTCTAGTTCTGAGATCGAATTAGAGTTTAGAAATGTTGATTTATACGGAGGGAAGAAAACCGGAGGGTCCGACGAAAAACCCTCGTAGGATGGAAGTGAACAACACATCAAACAATCTCAACTCACATTTTGTGCGACTGAGATTTTTTTGTTTGGCCCTTCTTACGCCTAATTTTTTCCTAATAACCCCCCTCAAATACCACTGCCAACTCCCCCCCCCCCCCCCCCCCCCCCCCGGTAAAAAAATGAATGGTCCCTAAGGCAAGAGTTTGTTTTTACCTGTCGTGTCGCTCGTTCTTCCATCTTCACCAGCTGATCCTTCTCTTC